TACCCAAACGCTCCCCAACTCCCTTTTTGCTGCCATATTCCCTGTAATCTCTATTAAATAAGAAATACTTAATGGAATTTAAACTTATCAAGGTCTTCCCAGAAGAATACAAAATATATTTAAATTTAAGCATTGTACGCGTGTTCATGTGCGTAACGGCCATATTATCTTGTCTACACTATCTATATATTTTAATATACTTGATATCAAAGATGTTATCCAAAAGTATTAAAAAATACACTCATTCGAGTGTATTTTTAATTTTACTCATTTCACGTGCACGCACGTGCAAGCAAGTGCATGATGAATACACCTTCTTGTAGGAGTCCCTTATATTTATCTATGTTCTAAATCCCATCCTGTTTGGTTAAAAAACAAGGGAGTTATAGCCATTTGAAGTTTCAGCCAATCAGATTGCAGCACACATGCATGCGCGTGATTTCATGAATTTTTTATCTTAATCGTATTGAAGGATATCTTAATGAATGACTATATTTAAAATTCCAAACATTTCGTCAAAAAACAAAATAAATATAGCCATTTAAAGTTTCAGCCAATCAAATTGCAGCACACGTGCATGCGCGTGATTTCATTATTTTCTTTCTATATCGTATTGTAGGATATCCTACTGCATGACTATGTTTTAAATTTCAAAGCATTTCGTCAAAAAACAAAGGAGATATAGCCATTTAAAGTTTCAGCCAATCAGATTGCAGCACGCATGCGCATGCTTTTCATGAAAATTTTTATATATCATGCTGTAGATCTTCATAATTTAAGACTTTGTTCAAAATTTCAAAAGATTATGACAAGAAACATGAAAAATATTGAGACTTTAATTTCAGCCAATCAGAGCGAAGCGCACGTGCATGCGCGTGAGATCTTGCTATTTTGACCATGTCATCATGTCTATACTACTAATATATCCTTATAATATGAGTTTCAAAGCATTTCATCCAGAAATAGAAAAGTTGCGGCTATATCTATTATATTAGACATTTCACGTGTTGCACGTGCGCGCTCTTGCAAGCACGTGCGCGAGGAACATGTCATTACGCATATACAACTAATATATACTTATATTATGAGTTTCAAAGCATATAGTCAAAAAATACAAAAGTTACGGCTATATCTATTATACTGGTCATTTCACGTGTTGCACGTGCACGCTCTTGTAAGCACGTGCGCGGAAAATGACCTTGATTCCGCAAATCTACATAACATGTCTACTAACCCTAAAAAGGTTTTACCTACTTCGGATGAACAGTTTACAAGATCACTCGCGGACAAAAAAGTACCCAGGAAGAAGAAGAAAAAAAATAATAATAAAAAACAGAGTAAAAACAATATGTTTCCCAACTTCGTTTGGGGAACATAATTAGGTATAGATTAAGTTGTGATATGATAGGCATTTGGCAAGGTATAGAAATCTATGAATGATGCAATATTTGTTATAATTAATGCCTACACCACAGAGATGGATAAACAATTTTTTTAAAGTGTGTAAAAATCATTGAAATCTTAAAATCAAGATTGACATGATTTTCCTGCACTTTTAACTGTTTCAGATACATTGTAATTGTAATTTTTTGACAGGCGTATCATGCTGTGGCGTAGCACTTTATTTAGGTCAGATGATACAAACTTTTTTTTTCTTTGGAGGAGACTTCATTAATATCATGTTACAAGTTTAGAAAAGTGGATAATTCTTTCATTTTTTTCTTCTAAGAACTGGAAAATGAAAGAGACTTGGAAAATATTTGTAACATTTCAATAAAATTACAGATATGGACAAAACAGACTTGGTAAAGGTTTACAGATAAAAAATTTCGGAATATGTTACCTTGGTGCTAAAAGTGTAATACAGATATCGATGTATAAACTTTAAAAAAAAAAAATTATACCAAGCCAGGTGAATTTAATGAGGAAAAACGCATTGACAAAAATCAGCAATATCACATGGGTTGATTTTTACCATTTTGCTTTTCCTAATAAAATTCATTAAAATGTTGTTTCTTTAAAGAATTTTTTTTTCGTATCATCTGTCAATATTAAAGTCTTTTCTTTTGAATGTCTATGCATGGTGGTTAATTCAACAGAGATTCATAATAACTGGTCATTTTTATTATTAAGGATTTGCAGGTGCCCTATAGTAATCACTGTGTCCGTCCGTCTGTCTGTCTAGCTGTCCGTCTGTCTGTCTCCCGTCCACAAATTTTCTGTTTTTTCCCAGGGTAGTTCAATAGGCAGAAAGACATATTTTGATGCTAAGTTTGTTTCTCTTTGTCCCTTGGTTTGGAGCTAGGGTGGTGGGTAGATTCCTTAACTTTATATAAGAATGCATTGGCAAAGAAAGATAACTGCTGAAGATGTTCCCATTGTAAACTGAATGCTGCTATGAGTCCCTTGGGATTAATTAGCATTCCTCCTGAAGAAAATACAAAGCATTATCTTTATCTGTCACATTGAGATATAAAAAATTCAGGAGGACTGTTAGGATTCTCTGTTTTGATTGGTTGTTTTGTAGGAATAGCCCAGTAGTCATGTACAGCACCAGAGGAGCCGCTGCTAGAAGTGGTCATCTGATACGCCTTCCGCTGCAATGAAGCTATTAGGGATTCAGTCTTCTCTTCTGATTGGTTCAGAGGCTTTGTGGTCTCTCTTGATTGGATGGAAGACTTGTCCTGTGTACCATGTAATGATGACAATGAGTCAGGTGACTTCTTAACCTCTACTTCTTTCTTGACTTGCACAGATTTCCTTGTAATATTGGTAACATTCCAATAATCATTGGTGTTTTGATTATTAAGTAATTGCTCCAGCTCTCGGAACTGTTGACTCCTCAACCTTCTTAGAATTACCCTGGGGATTGAAACCTTGAAGATTATTCTGTAAGGGTGCCATGGCTTTGGCGCTAATTTGTGATAAAATTGGCCCTTTCAAATTCCGGCTTTCCCAAGAATTGGGTTTTGTAGAGGAGCAGGAATTCTGTTACTAGAGGTAGACTTGACTGCTTTCAGTGGGAATTGCTTCCTTTCTGACCACTCAGCGTTAGGTCTTGGATCACCAGATTGATGATCAATGGCCTTATTGGACCAAGGGTTTCTAGCCTTTGTGTGGTTCTGGTTGGTCTTTTTCTTCCTTAATATTTCCATTTACATCTTTCTTTCCACTAAGTTTTAAAGATCCACTTCCAGGCACAAACCTAGGCATATCAGGTCTATTTCTTTGTAAATCAGTTTGATTCAATTTTACATCATTTTTCTTTCCATCCTCAACACTTGAGCTATGTTCTTTACAAGATAGTGTTTTTGATTCTTGCTCCAAAGCACTGGGATGGGCGGAATTGTTCCTGTTTTCATTTGCAGACATCACGACTTTGGCACTGGTCTTCCACCGGTAGCACTCTCTAGCAGCGGTGGGTAGTTTGGAGGACACGTACAGATACTGTTCGTCGTCGTCCCAGGATTCCTTTTCTGTCTTCTGAGGGGAGGCATGGACTCCTGGGGGAGGTATCAGGTTGGCGTAGTTCGTGGTAAGAACAGGTCTCTCTGGGACTTCCTCCTCCTTGTATAACTTTGGTCTATCACCGAATGGAAAACTGTTTTTGGGCTTTTTGTTTGGAACAGATTCCCAGATGTTCTCAACTTCTTCTTCTTTGGTGCTAAATGTGAAGAAAGACATATAATTATGGTGCCTAAAATCATAATCATTTAATTGAAAAGATGAATAAGAAATGTGAAGTACATATATTGATAAGCTTACTTTTGCATTTTGGTTGTAACAGCTTTAGCAAAATTTATTGGGCCCGATTTTGTTACTGGTTTTCTTGGCTCTGCTGATGTTTTAACTTCACTGTTGTTTTGTATTCCAGTATCCCTACATTTAAAATGTATATACATTATATTAATTTGATTCATTTTTTTAAAACCCTTTTTGCATTGCACATCATTCACATATAGGAAATTTTTTTTCTTGAATATGCTTTATCAAAATGGTATATAAAGTAATCTTACATTTGGTACATTTCTTTACACATATTTATTTAATTCATTTTTTAAAAACTTTCTTGCACATCATTCACATATAGGAATTTTTTTTTTCTTGAATAGGCTTTATCAAATTGCTATTTTAAAGTAATACTACATTAAGTTTTTGGTAGCACTGCCAGAAGTAAAATTCTTTACACTGTTATCATTAGCCACTGGTTAAGTAAGCTTTGTTGATCAGTTAGGACACCCTGGTTCCTTTGCAGATCTGCAGTCCTAGATAATACAAGCAGAAAATGTTACGAGATCTGCTAAATGGAACAATATTTACTTAAACATACCTCTGAGAACATCAGGCTTTACCTGGGCTCTTTAGTTTTCACAATGGAAGCGGAACTTCTCACCCCCTCGTTTGCGGCTTGTTTATCAAGTTTTGTGACAGACAATGACACAGATTCCTGGGTATTTTTCACTTCTGTTGTCCTTAGTATTATAAAAAGAATCATGTTAGTTCTTTAATAACAGAATGTTTTCTGTAAGTGAAAGAGACTTTATAATAACTGCTGTTCCTTCTGCCCTAACAGTTAATAATCAAAATACCAATGATTATTGGAATGTTTACAATATTACAAGGAAATCTGTGCAAGTCAAGAAAGAAGTAGAGGTTAAGAAGTCACCTGACTCATTGTCATCACATGATACACAAGACAAGTTTTCCGTCCAATCAAGAGAGACCACAAAGTCTCTGAACCAATCAGAAGAGAAAACTGAATCCCCGATAGCTTCACTGCAGCGGAAGGCATATCAGATGACCACTTCTAGCAGCGGCGCCTCTGGTGCTAAACATGACTACTGGGCTATTCCGACAAACAACCAATCAAAACAGAGAAACCTAACAGTCCTCCTGAATTTTTATATCACCAGAAAAGGTTGTTTGTGAACAGACCGGTGCAGCTGTTGGTGGTGTATCAGACTCCACAGTGCCACCAGTTTTGCCATTTGTCCAAAACAAAGAAAAGCAGACGACGGCAATGTCAGACAAAATTGTGCCGAAACAAGAGAGCTGGAAAGATGAAATATCTGCACCTATTATTTGCAAAGAAGCAAAGAACACCAACCAACCAAAAACTGAAAAGAGCAAAGTGCAAACTGTTCAAGATGGAGCTGAAAGTGATGAAAAAGTATTGCAACTACCTCCAAAGAAAATGTCTAGCATGTTTAAAAAGATGGCAAAGTTTGGCATCATTCCAAACCCTATTAAAAAGGAAAAGACCAGTGAAAGTTCTCCCACTTCTCTGCTGACATCTGAAGCAGAAGGGAGTCCTAAACCCTCCAAAACTTTCGCAGAAACAGTCAAGACAGAAGACAAAGATGTGGAGAGCCTGTCACAAGCAAAGAAAACTGAGGTTGGACAGCTGGATAGTTTAGGACTCAACATAGATAAAATGTCTGTGGGAGATAATACTGTAAGTTCTCCAACACAAGAAATGTCACAGTCACTGAAAGACAGTAGAGCCGTTTCCTCTGATTCTAGGTCTTCTTCAATGAATGAGTCAAACGGAGTGCTAGAAAAGAAGCAAAATTATATCACATAGATCGCTTATCAGTTTATAAGGGGAGGGATGTGCCAGCATGGATAAGGAGGTTGCTGAGAGAAATTCAGGTCTCTTCAGCGCAGTAATTGAGTAATGTTTCTGGAAGGAATGTTTAGTATCCATAGTACCTGTGGGAAGAATTGTGTTCCTCCGCTACCGGGGCATTGTGTTATTCCTGTTGAGATATTACAGAGGTAGATTTGGGAGCAGATTTTCCTTTTTATAATTTTTTGTGTTTTGATTATGGTGAAGTGGGGAGGATGCTAGTGTCTAGGTGACACTGTGTGAAGGGTCGCGCCCTTGGTTGAGGATGCACAACTGGCCTGATCACCCAGGGTGTGCTCCTGCGGTTTGGTGACCATGAAGAATCCTTGAAGAGGATGTTGGGTCTGTATTTTGTTTTTATTTTTTTTGTTGATATATGATCTACGGGATCACTTGGTGTTGCATCTCCTCTGTGGGATATCTGCTATCTGAGCTGGATAGTTTAGGACTCAACTTTGATAAAATGTCTTTGGGAGATAATACTGTAAGTTCTCCAACACAAGAAATGTCACAGTCACTGAAAGACAATAGAGCCGTTTCCTCTGATTCTAGGTCTTCTTCAATGAATGAGTCAAACGGAGTGCTAGAAAAGAAGCAAAATTATATCACATAGATCGCTTATCAGTTTATAAGGGGAGGGATGTGCCAGCATGGATAAGGAGGTTGCTGAGAGAAATTCAGGTCTCTTCAGCGCAGTAATTGAGTAATGTTTCTGGAAGGAATGTTTAGTATCCATAGTACCTGTGGGAAGAATTGTGTTCCTCCGCTACCGGGGCATTGTGTTATTCCTGTTGAGATATTACAGAGGTAGATTTGGGAGCAGATTTTCCTTTTTATAATTTTTTGTGTTTTGATTATGGTGAAGTGGGGAGGATGCTAGTGTCTAGGTGACACTGTGTGAAGGGTCGCGCCCTTGGTTGAGGATGCACAACTGGCCTGATCACCCAGGGTGTGCTCCTGCGGTTTTTGTGACCATGAAGAATCCTTGAAGAGGATGTTGGGTCTGTATTTTGTTTTTATTTTTTTGTTGATATATGATCTACGGGATCACTTGGTGTTGCATCTCCTCTGTGGGATATCTGCTATCTGAGCTGGATAGTTTAGGACTCAACTTTGATAAAATGTCTTTGGGAGATAATACTGTAAGTTCTCCAACACAAGAAATGTCACAGTCACTGAAAGACAATAGAGCCGTTTCCTCTGATTCTAGGTCTTCTTCAATGAATGAGTCAAACGGAGTGCTAGAAAAGAAGCAAAATTATAGCGAGCGCAGCGAGCGTCGCGAAGCGACGCTCGCGAAGCGAGCTCAATAGACTAACGTGTATGAACAGAGGAAATTCGGATTGAAATCTGTACATACGTCAGCCAAATTTCTCTGTGCAACATTCCCAGAATTCCTGCACTATCCAATGTCCTTTGCGCGAATAAATCAAAAATAGTAAAATAATTAAAGGAACATTGTTTCTTACCGAAATCTTAACGAAATGATTTTGCCTTACCTTATTCAAAAAAATACCCCCATGCGACAACACCGGCCTTCACCTTGCCCTTCGGAAATGATACAAATGACGTCACCGGAAACTTACGAATTTTGACGAAGTTATGTCGGTTGCTTCCGTGAGACTCGGAAAACATGTTGCAGTGCATAGCAACATGGTGGCTAAAACATAGTAACAACTTACTTGAAAAGAACGATTTAATGCAATCTCTTTTCCATAAAACTAGCGTTTGCGTCCTAAGTCAACAGAACTTTTTATCTGACGTCGTACTTTCGTCACTTCAACGGTTCGGGTATTTCCGATTTTGTCGAAACTTCCGAGAAGTTTGGAATCTCGATCCCGATGCTTGGGAAATGATTAAATTAAGGTAGAACCTATGTCATAGAAGTCTTTTCAAGATTTTCAAACTTTTCATAATGATAAATTAGCACTTGCTTATCAATCAGTTAAAAGCACATGACATGTTTCCTTGTTATTAAATGTAGTGCAGCCATTTAAAAATGGAATGATAATTACCTATTGCGACTCCACAATTTCAATCATTTTAGGGGTACTTGTCATGCAAAGAAAACAAAAAAATCACAAAATTACTTCTTTGAACATAGTTGTTTTTATTGTTTATTAAATGAACAGTATTAAGCAATATTTCCCGAGAATAAATTTTCTTGTTTTCATTTGACATAAAAGATAATTCCACATTTAAAAAACTATAGGCAAATGAACTCTATTTATTTTCAGTCAATTTTCCACCCTACATTTGTAAATATTTTTCAGAAGTCTTTGTCACAATGTTTTCATTCTTTAATATGATAAAGAACATACCCAAATGATTACAAAAAGTGATTAAAATATATACCTTTCCCCTCTAACTAATGAGAGAGAGGTTTTTTAGCGATGCTAATATTCTTGACCTTTTTGCACTTACACGGATTTTATTATTAAACGATTGTTTGGGGTTACTTTCAGATAAAAAATGTTTATAAAAATTGTAATTTTAAATTAAAAAAGATCATATTTAGTAGAAAAAATTGTAATCAAACTCCAAGAATATGAATAAGTAACAAATAATTATGAAAAGGAATGCACATCATTTCATGATAGATATCACAAAATGTACACAGGATCTACAACATGTACATCTTTGACTTAGACACAATTAATCAAGATATTACACTATTTAGTTGGCAACTGTTTTTTATTAGGATTTTTGCATTCCTTCAAAATAATTACATACAATTAACATTATTACAGTAAGTTGTATACATTGTAACTTCATTACACAAGATCGTCTTGGATTTGTCAACTTAATTAAAGATCTACATGTATTAAATGAAAGGTGCCTACAGGTTTCTCTAATTCAAGAATTATGATGTCATTAAGCATTAGAACCAAACAATATATAAATTTAATTAAGATTATTTCGGCATGATTTTAAATTCAATTCTGTGAATTACAAAATGCAGTATTTTCTACCATTTCTATTGAAGCTGTAAAGTACGGGAAAAAGTGACACGAATTCATTATGACATCATAATGGATCTAGCACAGGCTAAACACATTCACTAGTAATGATGTCATATGACGTAGGTTCTACGTTAATGCCGTCACGAGAAAAGGGCCCTTAAGTTCAAATTTTCACAAATTGACTTTTTGGTAAATTTTGATAGCCGGACTCTTTCTGAATGCAAATATACATAAATTTTGAAAATATCTCACTTTTTCGATATTTTATGAGCATTTTAGTGAGGCGCTTCAAAAATAACTTTGACGTTACTCACTGAAAACGTAATGACGTCGCCTGCGTCTTATTCAATATTCAAAAAATCTTAAAATCACGTGTTATTTAAATAACCTCAATCGTTTTTAGCATTTAAAATATGAGAAAGTATTTTTTTTTCCTCCAAGCGACTAGTATTTAACTATTCCTGAGGGATTTCGTATGTTATTACTATTTCCATGCTAATTTTAGAGCAGATCTAGTAATTCGTAAAAGAGAGGGGGGGGGGGGGTCTAG